AAGAGAAGGGGTATTTCACTCATCGTACCTTCCGAACGACCTGATCATGACAATTTGAAAACTCGCATTCCTCCTTTTTTCTTATTTCCGATTTCTCTTTTATTAGGTACTTGAACGTGCATCTTCTCGCGTCTAGACAGTATTTCTTCAGGATTTTATGATCGTCGGCAAAAATTAAAATTTATTCTTGTCAAGCTATTTCTATTCTACTACTTCCTGTTGTTAACGACGCCCTTCAACACGTTACATGCGTTTGGGAATGCGACTTTCTATTTACCCAGGATTCCCGATCCGTTTTTAGATATTACTTATTTAAACTGAACGAGTTTCAAAACGAACATTCTCGACATGGTTTGTAATTTGTCATAAATTTTATTACTGAGGATCGGGTGATCCTGGGTATCTATGTTTTTATTATCTTTCCAAAATCGTTGGAAAGGCTTTCAACGACATATTTTCTACATATTGTCACGCTCGCCGATCGGTGACCGTTAACTCTCGCATTTTCTCTTACATCCTGTCTCAACGATCACCCTATTAAGTAATCTCGAAACGAGGAAATCGTGGAGTCCTCCCGGACGTAAGACTACTATACCTCTATGTGCTCTTACTTAAAATAATATCCGCTAAAAATTGATAAGATCTTTTTATTCCTCTAACTTATTTGTAATCTAAGGCCTGGCTGCATCAACGTTATTTTACTTTTAAGCAAGGCTTAAAACTCTCTTTGTCCTTGTCACTTTTCGGTATTAAAACAAGATAGAGAGAGTTTTAAGTTTCGCTTAAAATCAAAGTAACATTGGTGCAACCGGCCTAAGAGGAACAAGGGCCTCTAGTCCATTTCTCATTATTTACGGCTTCTAACCAGGATCTGAAAAGAATAATTTTATGCTTGAAATTTTATGCTGCGTTCAACTAATAATACAAGTACATTATATTTACAGTACAATCCTGTAAAGAAGAAAATTAACATTTGATAGAATAGTACTTTTCGAGAAAACCAATAGTTCATCAACTTTAACGCTTAATATCTCGATTCACGAGACAGAGCGACACTTTTTTTCTGCCAGATTCTTTCGTTTCATGCAAAAACGCGTCGAATTAAGCTGCTGTACACCAATCGCCCTAGACCGCCGACTGATGGCATTGATCACGACACTCATTTCTCCGACGGTAAACGAAATCCTAGACACTCATTTCCTCGAACACCTAGACACCCACTTCCTCGACGGCGAACACCTATACATCCGCTTCTTCGACGTCGAACACCTAGACACTCATTTCCTCGATGGCGAACACCTAGACACCAACTTCCTCGATGGCGAACATGTAGGCAACACCTAGACACTCACTTCTTCGACGGCGAACACCTAGACGCCCACTTCCTCGACGGCGAACACCTAGACACCTATTTCCTCGACGGTGAATACCTAGACACCGATTTCCCCAATAGCGAACACCTAGACACCCATTTCCCCAATAGCGAACACCTAGACACCCACTTCCTCGATGGCGATCACCTAGACACCCATTTCTTCGACCTAGACATCCACTTCTTCGACGACAAACATCTAGACGCTTAATTCCTCGACGACGGACACCTAAACGCTTAATTCCTGAATATCTATACACCCTCTTCCTCGACGCGGTAAATACCTGGATCTTCAACGACAATCTCGATGTTTTATTTTAATTATAATTAATATTTTATTTTAATTCATTTTATTAATTATATTTCATTTTAATTTCAATTTATTATAATAATATTGCGCCGCGTGCACGTCACATCGTATATGTGACAATGTTGCCATCGCTGATTATCACAGCCGTCATGTGTGGTTGATCACATTCGAATGTGCAATGCTGCCATCGCTAGGTTAAATCAAAAGCCCTCTAGTGTCGAAAAAACGAGATGGACATTTTCTCCTGGTCGACGACAACATAATAATAATAATAACGACGTATCTGAATCTAATGATCTGAAAAGTAGCAGTTCGGAACTTTGCATCGCGATATCTCCGCTCATAGGGCACATAGAAAAAAAATAAAAGCACTTTTATCATACAATCCGTGTGGTGGCTATCGATTGAGCATACATAGAACGCGATCGATTTATCCGTTATTGAGATCCGATAATCTCGATCTGCCGCAACTCGTCGGTTCGCGTAATAGAGGCACGGCAGTGTCGCTTCGCGCAGCTTATCGCTGAGACATTACCTGTGTCTCCAAATAGATATTCAGTTGTTGAACTTACATGATATTCTAAATGGAAGCATATTTCAATGATGTTGTCAATTCGCACGTTACAAATTAAATGCGAGTTGGTCACAAAACGAGAAAATAAATTAAAAGACATCGTGGAAAGGGACCCATCACGTTTATGTTAGTAAATTCAAATATATTTAAAAATTTTGTATCTTTTTGTAAGTTCAAACTGTTTTTTTGTTCATGTACATACATCATCTTGGAAATAATTCGTTTACGAAAAATAATTTCTTCATCTTTTATACATTATCCCAATCAAATTGATGGAATAATTTACGTCTGCGTTATACGCTAGTTGCGTAGCTCATGTGGCACCACCACATCGGTCAAGTCAGGCGTAACATAGACACTCAAGCGAAATTAGCATCCGCTGCGTTAAATAATCAAACTAATTAAATTTATTTAAAAATATCTGTAAAAAGATACTGTAGATGCAAAAATTCCGAAAAATAACAATCAAACTAATATTTTACAGTTTTCCATCAAAAAATGATCAATTAGATAAAAAATGATAAATGTTGAAAATAACGGAGCCATCTCCGATGATCTTGACCTTCACATCAAGGTCATGGCCATGAGTGATCTACAGAAGGATTTAGTCTGTGCTCGTTATTCGTTCAAAATAGGGATGTTCGATACTGTATCGATTTTCCAAAATATTGCAATATTTCATGTATCAATACCTGTTAATAATTAATTACATAATGGGTAGGGCGCAGAATAAATGTGAAGAACGTTTGGTATCATACACAAAGAAGAAGTGCTTATATCTGAACTCGTTACACTAAAGAAACAGAATTACCAACTATGCTTTACAAAAAGGAACTGAACAGACTCTAGTACATTTAGTACTTAGTACCTAATTTCAGGCATCACGCCTGAGTGGACGTTGTATAGAGATTTTTGTACACACACCCTCGCATATACGAATAATCTTAACAATTTAATCTTATTTGAGTCATACATTCTTTAAACTTAGATGCATATAGCCTCTTAATTAAAGCATCAATTATCATTTCGGTTGTTGGCAAGTATTCGATAATGGTATCACCACTTTCCGTCTTTTCTCTGATAAAGTGATGACGGATGTCAATGTGCTTCGTCCGTATCCACCGTTCCTCACCAATTCAATTACACCTACTCTCTAAATCTCGTGAAGTGAAATCTCACTCGAAGAGACCGAAGATTTAGCCTGTCTTGAAAAAAGAGTGAAAATGCGACTGCTCTTATTCAAGAGTGGTAGATTTTCACTCTTTTTAGAGTGAGATTTACTCTTTTGAAATGAGATTCATTTCAAGAGAGTGAAATCTCAATTCGTTTTTTTTTAGTGAAATACCGTAGATGGAATCTCATTCCAAAAAGGGGATTGAGATTTTACTCTTTCGGAGTGAATCTCATTCCAAAAGAGTAAATCTCACTTTAAAAAGAGTGAAAATCTGCCACTGTTGAATAAGAGTAGCCGTATTTTCACTCTTTTTTCAAAACAGGCTAAATTTTCAGTCTCTTCGAGTGAGATTTCACTCCATGAAATTTAGAGAATACATTGTTGTTATGCAATCTTGTAGAGGATGTGTTCAGATTTCCGTTAGTTATTAAGAACAGATTTCCAGATCATTCGAAATATTGTTTGCTTCTTATGTACATATATTGTTTTCGACTTTCGAGCGATCTTGATGTCGAAATATGTATTTGCGTGCCAACGCCGGCGAAGGTCCTCAAATACGTGAAAAAGGGGATCTTTAACGACGTTATTATTGTCGCTCCTCATTCGTCGCCAGTTACTAGGCCGATCGTAACGACGAATCGCATTATCGCTAATAAATTGTATCCACGAGCCGGTCGAGTTCGCGTACGTAAAAAGCAGTTCGAATCCGGAGAGCGACGAGCGAAGACGAGCCGAAAAATCCGGCGAACCAAATAATTAGTCTTAGTTGCCGCCACGGGAGAGCGAAGGCTCCCGCCGGTAATAAAGTGGTCCTTCGAGCCGGATATACGGCAATACGGATTATAGTTCCTCGCGTCAATCAATTCGTTCTCCGCTCGTTCTCATCTCGCGGGCGCCGCAACACGCACTTCGCAACCAAGTGTAAGTGACTTTCGCGGGCACCGCAACACGCGCTCCGCAGCCAAGAGAGTCTCGCGGACGTCGCAACTCGGGTCCGTCGGTGCAGTGACTCTTATTCGTTGACGCTGTAACGCGTCTCGTTTTTGTGTGGGTGACTCTCGCGGGCGTCGCAACACGCGCTCCGCAGTCAAGAGAGTCTCGCGGACGTCGCAACTCGCGTCCGTCGGTGCAGTAACTCTTATTCGTTGACGCTGCAACGCGTCTCGTTTTTTGTGTGAGTGACTCTCGCGGGCGCCGCAACACGCGCTCCGCAGCCAAAAGAGTCCCGAGTAGAAATTGAATGTAGTGGCTGACTAGATATGAGCTAATAAAATTGCGTTATACATCATCACTATCTAGTTTTTCTAAGTAGTGACGAACTAGTAATGTAACGTTCACTTTTTTAGTGACTATGTTAAAAAAATCAGCTAATAGCTAGATAGAAAAAGATTGTAAAGTGACGATATTACAGAAAATGTAGTCAGTTATTATACATATTAAAGCTTCTAGTAACTTTATGAAAAATATTATCTAGCACCTAGCTACAACTAGAAAATAAAATAAATTAATAAATTATATATATTTTTTTTTTGTAAGTACACCCCCTGAAAGTTTTTGGACAAATTTTGTTAAGAATTTTTACTTAGATATTAATTTTTTTTATTGTATTATCTTACCCTTGACGGCTACCTGTTGCTTATCCACTGGTAGGTTTTGAACACGGGTCCTCAGGATTATGAATCTTATAACCTATCCGCTGCGCTACTTTCACTTATCGATATATGTCTTTCATTGTCTACATATGTATATCCAGTTATTAGTCTAATTTGATTACGTGATTAATAGTAAGTGAAAAAGTAAGATTATATTCGTTTCCTAAATATTATCTAGCTATTTTTTAGTTGGCATCTGATTCAAATAACATGTCCACCAGTTCTCAACCATAATTGACTTATTCGTTTATTTAAATAGTACTTTTTTAGTTACGCAGAGTGCATTTCATTTTACATATCTTATTCTTATTATTCATTAAATATTAAAAAAGGAAATGAAATATCATGCACGTCATGTGTAAAATGGAAAATGTTTGTAATATCACTAAAGGCTGCATTCGAAAACGTTACCGAATATCAGGTGTCCCAATGTATCATCTTATACTTGCTTAATATTGAGTAAGCAACAAGGATAAAACAATAGATGAAGACACTCAGATAACATTTCTACACGCAGTCCGAGTATATCATATTTTGGCGTTTGCCTTGTACGTTCACACGCTGTAAATAATTCATTGTTGCTTATCAAATATTAAATCAAAAATGGTGATCACACCGAGCAAAATATTAAACAAAAACAAATAATGTTTACAAGTTGTGTGAGTGCTAAATCGAACTCTGTAGTCGGAAAAAGCCAAATAATACTACACTCGATGCCCGTATAGATGCAAAAGTAAGGTTATTCCATATTGCTTCCTTCTGATATTCACTGCCAGTACTGAAAATCTA